CAACCTATTTCTTGATTTGACAGTGCGTTTGTCTGCAACAACAATATTCTGTGACGGCTGGTACAGTTGTTGATGCAGTTTATTGCTGTAGTCTTTAGTACAGGATCTACCATATTCACAAACGCCATAAGCGCTTTGTACCTAACCCGAGAAATTATGTCTATTGCCCACAGACCATGATATAAGGTTTTTACACTCCAATAATTTTCAATCTCACTGTCGACCTTTAGCAAACCTGCATATTATACTAAAAGGCAATCAACCTCTGAAGGTTGGTGGACTGCAATGAAGGTTGGTGGACTGTATGTCAATACATATGCCCACATACAAACAACTGAAAAGTTATCCACATACCATATATGGCCAGGAAACTACCTCCTGAAGCATTCCCTTAGTAAAAAAGAGTCGAACGAACTCAAGCTGACAGTTCATTGAGCCGAATGAACTCAAGCTCACAATTGATCGAAATGGATCCCGGACATGTCAGTGAGGAGCAAAATCTGGGAGAACATTCCTAGCGTCAGGATCATCATAGCCGTCATGTACTATGGGGCCTAGTGGGGAAGCTAGACAGGGAGCTTTCGAAACCTTAGGTCCTAATGGCTGGGCTTCCCTCTACCTCTACTCATCCCCCTACCTTCCCTCTGGGTTGGCGAGTGGGGTTCTCATGACTCATCAGAACTCTACTTCCCTGAGGCTATGAAACAGGAACAGCAGATAGGAACAGGATAAATATATTCATCAGTGCAAATAAAAACTTTTATAGACATGGTGCCACTTAAAATTATAATAAGAGCCAACTAGTAAGATATAAGTATGAATACTTGGCTATTATGTATGTAATAAACAACCAAACATGTGCTCAAGGCTCATTTTACTTCGCCAAGGAATCAGAGATTTTTATGCCTAAAACACCACAAATTTTCGTCAACAATATAAATAAATACCATTTATATTTGTCAATTTCAGTATGAAACGATTATTTCAACACAAAAAAGCGATATGAGGACATACTTGGTCGTACTAGTGAAGCTATACTAAATACAAATAAATTTACAACGCCATGGCAACGGCAAAACATTGAAATTGTCTAGAAATGATATAAATACTTGCCTTGAAACTCCAGACACGACTCCCAATGCCAGGTTGAGATACTTGTCTTCATACGAAGACATTCCATCATTACTAGCACTATCAGTTTGCAAAATAAAGCCAAAAACGTCTTCAGAATGCGATTCAAACAAAACTACAACACAATACATTTCAACGCTCGTGCGTTCCCGTGCGCGATAATCAGGAAAATTGCTCTAAAAGATTTGTTTTTCTGCCTAAGCCAATCAAAATCCGTATCTAGGGTAAACAAACACTCCGGAAGTGATTCCTGCAGTCTTTTACCAGGAAACTGTAATGCTTTACCAAGAATTTGGTGTCCGAAGTTGGCCGAACACTTTCCGATCACGAGAATTGCCATAATAGGCTTAGATTATTTCGCAATTTCCCGAGACTGCTCCGAGCTATAGAATGGAAGATGGCGATTCTTTTGGTATATTTGTTATTATTATACGTGGAAAAGAAGCAAAAAGACGAGCATTTGAATCAGGCGGAACATTCAAAATGCAACTGCAAAATTGATAATGTGTCATTTGCATAAATTTCACCGCATTGATCATTTCAAGGTAAGAAATTCGCTTGAAATTGAGCGAGAAACAATAAAATTATATGAATATTTCTGAATATATAGTATCGATCAAGCGGAATTTTTTGGTGGTATTTTCGTATGTCTACTGCAAATACTCGCGAAGTTCTTTAATATTTAATCTTCCCGTCATATACGTCGGGAATTAATATTGGCGGATCGAATTGAACACTTATACCAACGCCAAAACCTCTCTCCAAAACGATATTAAATCATATTGAATTGACGAACACAGGATCGAACTTTAATTCCTAAATACAAACAGATCATCAGTTTCAGCTTATAGTGTGGTAAAATTAATGCAACTAAGAACTTCAATAACACAATATGTTCCAAAAAGAAATGTTCATCAACAGGAAGCGTAATATCGTCTACCTTATTGCAAAACCTCAAAATCATCCCGCCTCATATCTCGACCGGGCAAAGCGGAATATATAATGTAAACAGCTCCTAAACCCGGGATGTACATATAAATCGTCCCGGCAAACGTCCCGTCCTGCCTCTCATATAAACAGCCTCTAACTTGCCCTGAATTGCGATGGGACCGATCAAACGATACGCAAGTTATCGCAACAATTTGCAATATTTGGCCCGTGTGCGGCTAACTTTGTAATTTTGCGAAGTTGCAAAAATGTAATAAAACATGGCCGTCATTTAACCCATTTAATTAAAACGAATGTAAAAACGTTTGAAAATGCCACATAAAATGAAGCGAAAAGGCGGCAAAAACTGCCATATCATTGTACTATTTTCTCTACTTGATGAACACGAAATGTCTCAGGCTTGGAATCAACCTTGCGAAGACCAGAAAAAGGTCGTTTTTATAACATTGTGAGAGAGCAGCGAACTCGAGACAATGGCCATTCCTTTGATTTCCATGGAAACTGGGGTAAAAAGCTTCCTTGAACCTGCACTTCTTGATCAAACGTATCCAAAGTGCATGCTCGCAAGTTTAAAAAAGCTTGCGATAAAGTTTGAACCCTGAGTTCCAATCATTCGCAAGTCATCGCAAATTTTTGTATTTTGTATTTGTATTTGTATTTGCACATTCTTTACCGACTACCGAGGTGGTCTCAGACACCAAAAGTGATTTTCATGAGAGCCCTCTAATTAAGCTACATGTATACAACATAAATACTTACACTTAATTATACAATAAAGTCTAAAGTCTAAAAAATTTCTAAAGTCTATCAATATAAGTTGTTCAATATTACAGATAACGCAAGTTAACGCAAGTTAATGATCAAACGAGGCACAAGCAAGTGCAAGTTAAAACTTGCAATGGCTTCCGTTCTGGTTTGATCAGGGCTTTAGGCTACTAATGTATTTTTCAGATTTCAATTGCTTGCGTTTATGGGGGTTTTAGTGCTGAGTTTTACTTATTGCTGATTCGATTCTTGATGTTAAGCTGCTATACAATACACTCACATACATACATATACACACTGAACAACCGTACTGCCAGTGAATATTACCATGCAGTGTAACATGTTTATTCAAGGCTCATTCATGATGCAAGCGACTGCCAGATTTTAAAGAGATAATATTACATATGCCTACAGTACATCCGTGAGGATTAGGGACTGAAAAATTGGATATATTAATGTTTTGAGTAGATACAGAATGAGAACATTGATGATTTGCTATGGTGTGTGCTGTCTTGTACTTGAAATAATTTCATAATATATTCAGGAAGTCTGGGCAAGCCACGCAGATGTATCTTGTCAACATAATACCTGTGACCAAACAGATATATCAGATACTTTCAGATACATCACTCTGTTACATTCAGGTATATATCAAGCTTGGAAATATACCAACAGCTACAACTGGATGTTAAGTTAATACAAGGATAGAGTATTCAATAAACGTTGGATGTTTGATGGTTTCATTAAGTTTCTAGGCCCATTGTATTATAATCGACATCACATGACAAGAGGTGAAAATATCAAACTGATTCAGTAATTGTATCAAGTCAAGGCGAACAAAACCAGATATGAATGAGATATACATATAATCCTGAAATAAATATCTATACTTCTAATACAACTGAAACAGGCTGCAGGGATAATGAGAATATATTTGCTGGTATTTTATCTGCAGGTATAGGAATTGTTGTGTAAGCAAATTTTGCAAATTGCAGGCATATGTTATTCACGATGAGTTACTATAATTATTATTTAACACCTACCAACACCAAAATGATATTAAATCAAATTCAGTCGATGCACACAGGATCGATCTTTAATTCCTAAACATAAACGGTTCATTTCAGCCTATATAATAATATTGTGAAATTCATGGACGAACCTCAATAATACAATATGCTCAACAACAGGAAGGACAATGTCGCCTACCTTAGTACCTTCGAACGCACAGCTTTGTTTCCTTATAAGCTATACCAATTTTACCGGAATTTTGTCTGGCTTCACTGTTTAAGAAACCGTATTAAGATGAACTGTTCTATTGCTACGATAAGTTATCGGTTTTACACCCTGTGATTTTAAGGATTATTTTGCATGCCTGACTGCACGTTTCTGAAATGAAACCTTATACATGTATACGTCATCTGTTGAAGCAATCTTTCAACAACAGCAAGTATTTGCATATTTTTGAAACAAGGTGGTCGGGGCATTCGGGGAAGACGGAATTGAATTGGAAATTCACGGAATCAGAATTTATATGACATTTTATTTTGTATATGTAAAATATCTATGAATACTGACCGTAACCGCATGCCGGTTTTATATTCATTCAAGTATTTCAATCATCCTAAAATATCAACTCAATTCCAGTGTGAACTCTACTATAATATCCAGTGAACATTATATATAGAGTCTATTTAATTTTCATTCCAAATTATGTTACTTCAGATAATATTTGGTCATTGGAACCTTAGTAGTTGTGGTGCAGCTCGACTGCTCGAAATATTCTACGGATTTAATATTTGTGTGTGTTGGTGTTACGTACTCAGGTGAACAGGGGCGGAGCGAAGACTATCCTTTTCGGGGGGTGCAAGACAACTTTTTGCCGACAAAAGGGCGTGGCTAGCGCGCGTTTAGGGCGTGATCAAAGTGATATACAATGATTAACACCTTGTAGTAAGATAATTTATTTTAATTTATTTTTAAAATAGGCAAAATAGTTCCGAAACAAAAATAATCGAAAAAGTACATTCATTCGTCATCAAACGACCGATTGCAAACCAAACATGTCAGTTTCTCTCTCTTCCGTTTGCGTTTTTGCTTGCTACTGTCCATACTTTTAAATCATCTCCGTATTTCTCATTGCATATAAGATCGTTAGGTGTAATTTCTAAGACTTTTACTGGCTTTACGAGATTATGAAATGAAGCGCAGACACATCAACAGTCAACACGCACATGTGCTTCGAATTTCCTAGCTATGGTATACTTCACAAAATTGCAAGAAAATATAATACTATTAAATAGCGTATTAGCGTAATAAGTTCTTGGCCAATTTAGCTGAATGTCGCGGAAAAGGGCCGAGCTTTCAGTCGACATATCCATCTTTTCGATCTCCCATTTTCTACAAATTTTTGTCCAATCTCTCTCCAAGCAGGTATTGCCTATTGGCTTGATACAATTTATTTTGCCGACAACTGATTTATTGTGCCGACGGACACGGCATTGGGGGTGCGGCACCCCCCGCACCTCCCCTTAGCTACGCCCCTGCAGGTGAATATGATGTTTGTGATGTTATTGTGAGTGTGCATCCACACCGAGCAAGCTGGAAAGTTTGCTTGGCCACGGTGGGAATCGAACCCGGCCGCAACCTTTGGGATACTAATCCAATGCTTTGCCAACGAGCTACGCGGTCAAGTCTGTTCGAGTCGATGATATTTCGGAATTGAATCAGGCGCGTAGCCAGCCCCATACGAATGG